GTCGCCCACTGGACCCCACAGGTATCAATACAAGCAATAATGTGTGAGTCTGTCTGTCAGTGTGAGTGTATGGGTCTGTCATGGTTTGTGTGTGTGAGTGTATGGGTTTGTCATGGTGTGTGTCAGTCATGGTGTGTGTGTGTGTGTGTGTGTGTGTGTGTGTGTCTGTCTGTGTTATGGTGTGTTTGTGTCTGATGAGGAAAAATAGAAGAGAAATCCAGGAACTCTCAAGATACAAAAAGGCAAATGTATTGAACCCACTGCAACATGGTGTGTGTCTGTCTGTCATGGTGTGTGTTTCAGTCATGGTATGTGTGTGTCAGTCATGGTGTGTGTCTGTGTCATGGTGTGTGTGTGTCTGATGAGGAAACATAGAAGAGAAGTTCAGGCAATCTCAGGATACAAAAAGGCAAATTTATTGAACCCACTGCAACGTTTCGACCTACACGGTCTTTGTCAAGCTTGACAAAGACTGTGTAGGTTGAAACGTTGCAGTGCGTTCAATAAATGTTCAGTTTTGTAACCTGAGAGTGCCTGGACTTCTCTTCTGTTTTTCCTCATCAATACTTGGTTCCTGGTACTGGTACTGGTCTGGTGCACCCAAATAAATTTCAGATGGGTTTGAGTGCAGTTCCACATTCCTGCTATATTATATTCGGTGTGTGTGTGTCATGGTGTGTATGTGTGTTTGTATGTATTGTCTGTCATATGCGTGTGTCTGTCATGGTATATGTGTGTGTGTGTGTGCCTGTCATGGTATGTGTGTGTTTAGGGTACCAGACCCCTTCCATTCACAAGGGAATGGTGTTTTTACTCACCTTTTTTTCCCCATACCGTGCTGGTCTCCCCTCGACTGGCCCTGCCTCTATGATCATCAAGCTTTGTTTTGTCATAGGATTGACTGCTAAACGCTGCACCAATCAGCATCTCCTCATAGATGCTCCATGAGGAACGTTCAGTTCCTCCTTGAAGAGCGTGGAGACACTGAATGTAGGTGATGCACACTGTGCAGCACTGACACAGGAAGCACCTCTAGTGACCATCTGAGTGACTCTCACTTGAGGTGTCACTAGGAAGCAATGTAAGCACTGCCTTTTCTCATAAAGCTGCAGTGGTCCTGGTGACTATCGTGTCCCTTTAAGAATTGTATTGTAAAATCTGATTCCTAACTTTTTAAATGGCTCCTAGATTCAAAGCAAATTTGTCAAGCCCTGCTTTACTTATTGTTCTTATGTTTTAGTCACCTGATGTGACGAGACCAATCTCGCCACATTGCATTGAAGAAGCCTGGTTGATCGCTTGCTGCCTCTGGACTATGGCCCCCTGTTAAAAGACTTTGTTTCGCCTGCAGAAAAGCTGTATTCATGTGGTCTAAGCGCCATTCACTTAATAATGTGTGCTCAGACCTGGGCTATCTGGGGATATGTTAAATGTCTAGTTTTAATGTAATGTGTCTTACCTGGTGTATTTTAACAGTAATGCTTGTTTTAGTATCCCCATGTGCATAATGAAGATTTGCCTTTGTCTTGGGAGATAATTGAATTACTTCTCAATTATCTCCCAGGGCAGAGGGGTGGAAGCCAGGATGCATTGTGGGAATATACTGTGACTGTGTGTCCTATTTGTCTGCTTGTCTGTCCCTTGACACAGTCTCCCATTTGGTCCCCTAGGGGAGTGTCCACCAGGTGGGAGACCTGCATAAATACTGGGCAGGTAGCCCTCATTAAACAGACCACTGCTTGACCCTCAACACGGAGCTCTGTCTCGTCTTTGGGGGATTTACTGTATGCTGATAGAGACTGATTGCCAGGAGTGTAAGCCGCTTGGGTGCTTACAGTTTGGGTGTTTGGAGCATTCCATTGTATGCAGTTCGAGTGTTTGGAGCATTCCCTTGTATGCAGTTCGAGTGTTTGGAGCATTCCCTTGTATGCAGTTCGGAGTGTTTGGAGCATTCCCTTGTATGCAGTTCGGGTGTTTGGAGCATTCCCTTGTATGCAGTTCGGGTGTTTGGAGCATTCACTTATTGGCGGTTCGTGTGTTTGGTGTTCTGCAGTAGCTGTGCCTGCATCTCTGGAAAAGGGGCCGTTTGCCTAAACGTTTTTTCCCCTTTTGTGCAAAACGGTCCGTTATACCGGGTATCTACTATAGGTGCAAGGTGTGTATAATATGGTTAAATGTTTTGTGTGCTCTCCTGTCCTGCTGCTTGTTGCCAACTAAGTCGATTTGGCTATGGAGTCTGTATAGCACCCTCTGTTCGTAGCAACAACTATATGCATTGATACACACAAACACATTACAGACAAGCTCATGGACACACACATGCTGCCTACAGACAAGCTCACTGACACACACAAACTCACTACAGACAAGCTCACTGACACATGCTCACTACAGAAAATCTCACTTTCACACACATGCTTACTACAGACAATCTCACTGAAATGCACATGCTCATTACAGACAAGCTAACTGTCACACACAAGCTCACTAGAGACAAGCTCACAGACACACACATGCTCCCTATAGAAAAGCTCACTGACACACACAAGCTCACTATAGACAAGCTAACTGACACACACAAGCTCACTTACAGATAAGCTCTCTAACACACACATGCTCACTACAAACAAGCTCACTGTCACACACATGCTTACTGACACACACAAGCTCACTTACAGACAAGCTCACTGACACACACAAGCTCACAACAGACAAGCTCACTGACACACACAAGTTCACTACAGACAAGGTCACTGACACACACAAACCCACTACAGACAAGCTTACTGACACACACAAGCTCACTTACAGACAAGCTCACTTAATGACAAGCTCACTGACACACACAAGCTCAATACAGACAAACTCACTGACATAATCAATCTCACTGGCACACACAAGCTCACTACAGAGAAGCTCACTGACAACACATGCACCCTACAGACAAGCTCAATTACACACATACACATGCTCACTGCAGGCAAGCTCACTGACACACTCATGCTTACTACAGACAAGCTCACTGACACACATGCTCACTACATACAAGCTCACTGACACACACGTTTACTACAGACAAGACAATATTTTAAAACACTCATATTTGTTTTTAGTGAAGTCTCCCAAATTACTATCTATGAGAGGAAGACGAGGAGAGTAGTTTGCAATCTATGGGGGACAAGAGGAGTATGGGATACTATCTATGAGGAGAGAGGAGGAGAATAAGCTACTAGCTATGAAGGGTAGAGGAGGAGGAAAGTGGTGTATGCCATGGGGGGAGGAGGAGAAAGGGGTATGACCTATTGGAAGAGAGGAGGAGAATGGGGTACGACCTATTGCGAGAGAGGAGAAAAAGGAAAAGAGGAGAATGAGGTACTACCTATTGTGAGAAATGTCAATGGAGTATTATTTGTGGAGGAGAATATGGTATTAGCCATGGGGGGCAGGGAATGACATTGTGACGGACTGCCTGCCACCCCGGCTGGGTGCCTCCGTCAAACGATGCTCCTAGTGCTCGCCAAGGACCATTAGCACTGCACTTGACACCATACCACCGCAAACCCCACGAACCGCCACAGCTTGGTTTGGGTTTTGCCGTCCTCCAGGACCAGGCTCCAGCTTCCAGTGGGTGAACCTCTCCTTAGTCCAGGAACAGCTCTTACAAAAGCTAGTGATTATACTCTGAGAAGTATAGGGATTATAGCAATCCCCAGAGTGTAGTTCTCCAATCCCCCAAACATGAGCCAAGACTTCATGAAGGGTAGAACAGGTCTGTTTAATGCAAGCCAGTGCTCACAATTTATACCTCAGGCATTCCTCAGGCCAGAAGCACACCCCTGGACCTGATGGAACACAGGCACACAAGGGACACAAACCAATCAGAACAATACAACAATGTCCGACACTCCATACAGCACACAATCCTTCCCCACTGCCTGGGATATAATTAAAGTAGCTATTATTATCCACAGGCAGAAAAACACACATTTTCCCCAAAGTCCAGAAAACAAACACTCTAAAACATAATATATCCCCATAAATATTACATCCCCTGATAGCCCTGATCTGGGTGAACAACATATCCAAAAATCACCCAGATCAGAGCAGGGGTTCAAAAGTTCCATGGAAGTCTCTTTTGACCGACTGCATGCATGATTTTATGCCCAAAACAGTTCCAGAGAATTTGGCTATGCAGCATGTCTATTTTCAATGTCTAAGTTCAGTTCAAATAGTCAAACAGGAACCGTTCGTGCACTTAGTTAAAGTGTTG